TGCACGGCGTCTGTCGCGCCTCGAATTCGGGTTTTGGGGCGTGACAGATTTTGTGGTATCAGAGCCTAGGTTAAATTATGTGCCTAGGAGTAGTCTAGAACTTGGCTAGTAAAGAAATGATAGGAACGTGGTGAGGCATGAGAATGGGGTTGATTAAGGGCGCTTGTTTGATTTTCTTTAATGTGTGAGATTTTTACTCATCTCATTTTGTTTGTGTTGCTTGATCCCGGAAGTGGAAACTTGTCGGGAAATTCCTTGTGGAGCATATGATTAATAATCTATATACACTTTTAATGTGGTTATAAATGGCTCCAAAACGGCGTGGGCGGCCCCCGAGGGGTAGCCATAAGGATCAGGGCACTCCTCCAATCCCAGAAGCTAGTCCCCCTACTCAAGCTGCTCCGCAGGAGGGAGGGACGAGCAATCCCCAAGTGGCCAGCTTTGCTCAGGAACTTATGGCAGAGATAAGACGCCAAGTATCTCCTGCCACAAGTGTACCACCTTCATCCCCGGTGGTCTCCACTCCTATGGCCCCTACTCCGGTTTCCCCTGTTCCTATCTCTTCTGCCCCTGCTGTGCCTGTCTGGAAGATTTATACAGAATTCCAGAAGTTGATGAAGAACAAGGGATTCAATGGTACTGCAGGTTTTGAGCAGGTGGAATCGTGGATCACCGAGGTGGAGCGGGGATTCCACCTACTGCAGGTTTCTGATGACCTTAAGGTCAATGTAGGCACTTACATGCTTTCTGGGAAGGCATTAACTTGGTGGGTGAGTTATATGAAGCTACACCAAGGGGAGCCTGAACTGAGCACCTGGGAAGGTTTTAAAAAGGTGTTCATGCGGGAGTTCATGCGGGAGTTCATACCGGACAGCAAAAGGCGAGAACTGCAAAGGGAATTTGCAGACTTAAAGCAAGGGTCAAGTACTGTTGAGCAGTACAAAGAGGAGTTTGACCACTATCTGCCCTTTGTGGGTAGCCAAGTCGGCGATGAGCAAGCCAAGGCCGACAAATTTCTGTGGGGCTTAAATTCTGACATTTATTTGGCGGTAAACCAATTTGAACCCGCCACTTATCGAAAGGCTGCGGACAGAGCTATAGGTCAGGAGAAGGCTATGGCTAGAGTCAAGTCCTCTGGGCAGCCTAGTGGTGGGTCATCCCTTGGGAAGAGGAAATTCGATGGGAGTCGTAGGTCCTTTGTCCCTGCACCGCCTAGGCCTGCTATCAGCAAGGGTTCTAAATGGTCAGGAGCTACTAAGACTGGGGGCCAGGCATCCACGGCTCAACGTGCTCGCCCTACTCCACTTACTTGCAACTTTTGTGGGAAGGTTGGGCACACCCATGATCAGTGCCACTCTGCTACTGGAGCTTGCTACAGATGTGGCAAGCAAGGACATCAGATTGCAAATTGTTCGTTGCCAGACCCCAAAACTCAAAGTACTCAATCCACATCTCAGTAGGGGTCTACCAATCAGGGGGCACCGAAACAGAATGTCGGGGTTAGGACAAGGGCCCAGCAGGCAAGAGCCCAAGCCCAGCAGGCAAGAGTTCACGTGATGACCCATCAGGAAGCTGCGGCTACCGACGTAATCACGGGTACTTTGCCTGTTAACTCTGATTATGCTCATGTTTTATTTGATTCGGGTGCGTCGCACTCTTTTATTGCTCGATCTTATGTTTTGAAACGAGCTTTACCTGTTAATATCTCTGATTGTGAACTACATGTGGACACCCCTTTAGGAGGGGTGATGACTACTAGGGAGGTGTGTAGAACTGTGGATATTTGTGTTGATGGTAGACAGCTGAGTGCTAGTTTGTTTGTTTTAGATATCTCCGATTTTGATATCATTTTGGGGATGGATTGGCTGTCCAAATATTTTGCCTCTATAGACTGTCATCGGAAATGGGTAGTTTTTAATATTCCTGGTGAGCCAGAATTTAGTTTTCAAGGCAGTGGTTCCTTTGCTCCACCCGTGTTAGTATCTGCCTTGCAGGCTCAGAAATATCTTGTAAATGGTTGCCAGGGTTTCCTAGTCTCTGTTATTGATGCTAGTAGTGTGACATCGAGACTAGAAGACATACCGGTGGTGCGTGAGTTTCCGGATGTATTTCCGGAGGATCTTCCAGGTTTACCTCCGGATAGAGAGGTTGAATTTGCTATTGACCTTGTTCCTGGCACCGGACCCGTTTCCAAAGCACCATACTGTATGGCTCCTGCAGAACTGAAGGAGTTAAAAGTCCAGCTGGAGGAACTCCTTGAGAAAGGGTTTATACGCCCTAGTGTGTCACCTTGGGGAGCCCCAGTGTTGTTTGTTAAGAAGAAGGATGGGAGCATGAGGCTATGCATTGATTACCGGGAATTGAATAAGGTGACTGTGAAGAACCGGTATCCCCTTCCTAGAATTGATGACTT